ATTATATATTTTAAGACATAAAAGATAAATTATATTATAAATTTATGAATATGTTGTGTTTTATTGAATTAACAAAGCAATATGTTTGCTTTCACAAATAATTAACACAATATTTTTTAACAATTTAAGCAAGAAGCTAGATTGTTTCATATAGCATTTTCAAATAGTCACCAACTTACAATGAGAGCAAGTCAAATACAGTAGAGGTATCACAACAGTGTATTAAGATGCTTTGTTATAATTCCATATTTTAATATTAAATAGAACATAATAAGCGCAGACTAAACAATTGCATCACATAGCTTTCGCTTGCTATAAATTCTTTTCTTACTAAATGTTATTAACTACGTCCAATGCTATTAACATTAGACTGATTTAGTGCAATGCATAATTAATAATGGAACAAGAAATGTGCAATATTACTTTCATCGATAATTTTGAAATGTTGAAAAATTTCGTTGATGCTTATAGTGAATTTAATTATAAAACCTTTGTTAGTTTTACCTTTTTAAGTTCGACAATTTTAACATGAGCCCGTCATAAATGATAACAGTCAACTTTTGAAACTTTGATTAAAATATTTTTTAATATGTAAGCAAATAACAAATGTTCAAATTTAATTGTTGATCATATTCAAAATTTATTCTATAATTTAAAGTTTATATCTTTATTAAATATTCGATCGAATCTGTGAAACCAGACATTTTGTTTTCTAAAAAAAAATGTTTCTAGTTTTTACTAGCTTTGTAACTATTTGTTTTTTATCATTTTATTTTCAATCTACAACATACAATATTCAAAAATAATTTCATAATATTTTGTTTATTTTTTAAATAAATTTTTGAAAAACAAATAAATATAGAAAAAGTATTTTTTATTTTAAAATTAGAATTAATTTTTTTTTGTAAATTTTTTATTTTTTTTTTTTCGTTTTTTTAAAAGTATTTTATTCTTGTATAATTTTTCCATTTATTATTAAAAAAAAAGATATTTTAAAATTTTTTTAGTTTTGTCACAAATTTTTTTACGTATATTTGTTGCTTTATTTTTATTACCTAATTAATTTTAATAAAAAACGTTCAAAAATATAAAACGAAAAATTTTTTTTTACAAATCACAAAAAAAGAGCAGAATTAATTTATTTTTAAATTTAATATAAAAACTAAAAGTAAGCCAAAATTTGTGAATTTGAAAGAAGTAAGCCTAGATGTAATAAAATTTGTTTTTAAATTTGCCGTTTAAAATATTTTTTCCGAAATTGCTTTTCATATATGTACCCATGTTCATATAATATAAGTGAAGGTGAGTTGACACACCACGACTCCCGAGACTTTTTTTGACTATGTTGTGAATATATTTTTCTTACTTACAAACCATTTAATTTTACTTTGGTAACAAGTTATTAGTAATTTTAAATTTTAAGTGAAAAATGGGCAACATCGAATTAACACTTGAAATATACAATTTTGCACCTATATAATAGGAGTCACTACAGTTACTAGGCAAAATTTGAAATTTGTATTAAATAAATATTTACATTAATTTATTTATTTAGTTCAAAAGAATTAAAATTGTTGATATGCAAATATTTATTCAAAATATTATGTGGCAACAGGAAATTTTAAATTTGAAGTAAAAAGTATAATTATGATTGTTTTTAAATTAAATTTTTAATAGTAAGTTAGTTAAATTTTTCTTGTTGGTAACACTAATTGCATAATGTATATTTGGTTAAAATTATAAAGCAAGAAAGCTATATTTGAGCTTTGAAACATTATTCATAATAATTAATTATAATTTTAAAAATTATATTAAAATAAAATACCTAAATATTAAAAAATTAACTGTAGAGCAATACTAAGCACATTTTATAATGCATAAAAACAAAATGAAGTAAAAAAATTTATTATTTAATTTACTTGTATTACCATCTATACAATAATTATCTATTCACATTTATTTTTAATAAAATTCTTTTGTTTTTGAAAACTTAAATTTAGATTTATGATATTTATTTTTTGTTTTTAATATTGTAAATACATCGAGCAGTGCTAATCATTATAATAATAAGTTTTAATACAATACTTTTTCTTTTTAAAATATTGTTCTTTATTATTTTATTTATCGAAAAATTAATATTTAGCTTTCAAATAATAAAATACACAAAAATGTACATATATTAAATAAAAACATATGATTATTAATCCGAATTATTATTTATTGAATAACTAAATTTGTATGTGAAAGATCGTGAAAAAAGCATTAAAAGCAATAAATAAGCAAATATTTACAAAATAAAAATTTACATCGAATTCTTTAAAATATATAAGATGTTAATTATTTTAAACAAACTTATTTGAAAACACAAAATAAAGAAATCATATCAGATATCTACATAAATCAAATTCAATTATTTTCATAATTGACGATGTTAAGTAATTTTTAGGTTTTTCTTCCATAATTTTTAGGAATTGAGACAATTACGAGTATGTCTTCCTGTATTTGACTTTTCAAATAGTTTAAGATTCAAAACAAAGAATTTTTCATTCCTACATATTTGAAAGGAGGAAAGTCATTTATCCGTCGGTAGAAAGAATTTAAGAGCATAGGTGAAATTTGGTTTATTTTTCGGTTTTTTGAGAGTCACATTATTTTTATATCATTCCTAAAAAAATTTGCGAATAAAATTCAGAATTGAAGATAGATTGAATAATGAACCTATTTCACTCATATCATATATTAAGAGCTGGACTGACAACTGTTCAAATGAAAGACTCACATTTTTAATATTTTGTCTGACTAAGATGTAATCTTTTAACATATTTTGAAAATTGCTGGATTTCTAAAAATTTTGCACTCATTTCTATTCTTCGTTAGCATATAATATATAGAGTATTATTTGTTACGTTTGATCTGATTTTTTTAATACGATTACTTTCTTTCCAGTAATGTTTTTTAATAACTTTTCATATAACTAAAGCTGTTATGGAGAAATGGCCATAATTTTTCTACGGCCACTTAAATATTACAAATTTGCATTATACAGTTAGTTAATAAATTGAACTTATTTTCAATTTACAATTCAAATATTTTCTAATGTCATGGTATTAAAGTTTATTAAATGTATGTGCATTCGAGAATACTCAAGGAATAAGATATTTTGAGTAAATCAGTTTTTAAGATTTTCTTCTTCTTAATTCTATTTTATTTGTAATGAAGGTTTCTAGTTTAAATCCAGTTTATTTGTGATCTTAAATCTGATTTCAAAAACTCATTTGTAATGTTTATACCTATTCCGTATTTCATTACGAACCTTATTAGGAGGCATTATTGAACTTCATCATTATTATTTTGTAATTGAATTGATCTTGATTGAAATTTAGGTCGAATAATTAAGTTAAATAACAATTTTAATTTAATATTGATATGTTGAATTCAATTGAAAAGTAAAATTAAAAAAATAATTACAAAATAATAAGAATTTAATTGGAATAAAATGAGAAAATGGTAACTGAAAATTAAAAAAAAAAAACATTAAAATAAAGTGTAATATTTGAAAATAAAAACAAAAACAGAATTAATTAATTTTTTTTTCTAAATTATATAAAATATACTTTTATTTAACATAAAAATTTTAATTAATATTTTTTTTTCTTAGTATATAGAATACAAAATTAATTATACATTTATTTTTTTCATATTTACCTACTAATATTTATTAAAATTACATGTAATTATAAATTATTTATTATATATTTTTTTTTATTTAAAATCACAATTTGATTTTCGTATATTTAACATTATTGTTATGCTTTATTTGAATTATTTTTTTCGTTTTTTTAATTAAATTTTTTAATTTATTTTTTTTTTTTTAATTTTCGTTTTTTATATTAAATGTTTTTAATAATAATTAATTAATAATGATAAATTTATATATTAATTTTATATGTAAATTCTATTCATTTTTTTTTTGTTGTTTTAACATACATTTTCCATATGATTTTTCAATTATGATATTTTTATTTATAAAAGAGAATTATTAAATTCTTTAATTTTAATTTATTTTTTAAAGTTTTTGTGAATCTATATTTATTTTTTTTACAATTGTTTTTCTATTAATTTTCGTTTCTGTTAATTTTGAAAGTTTTTAATTATAAAAAAATTAGCAAATCATTATTTTTTATAAAAAATAAAACAATAATTAATTTTAGAAATGAATTAAATAATATTAATATAAATAAATAAAATTTTATTTAAAAAATATAAAAAAATATAAAGAATTATAGTTTTTTAAAGAATTGAGAGATAAAATTAATATTATTTTTTTACTTTCATTCTTTGTATAATTTTCGGTCGTTTGTTTTCATTATGGATTACAAAATAAAATGAATTAATTTTAAAATTAGTTAATGAACTGAAAATATTTACTCTCTTTATTAATTTGTGAAAACATTAGAAATTGATAGAAGATTTCAATAAATAAATGTTGGTTGAAATCTTTGGTTTTTAATGATTAAACTTTTTTTTTAAATTCAATAGCCATGCAGTTATTGAATGGTATAAAATGTTTTTTTTTCTAGCCGTAGTTTAATAATTTTTTTCAAAATATTGAGAAAACCATTCCATAATTTAATTGTGACGTACAATGAAGGAAAGATTTATATGGTATTGCAGCTTTTTTCAGTGTCAATTAGGGTAATTTTACTTTGAAGAATTGTTGAGCAATATATTTGAATGGTGAGATTTTAAAATTAATGTAAAAATAAATAATAATTAAATTATGTTTTATGATTTCCAAATAATTTTAATTTAGATAATAAATTCATTTTATTTTGAAGCGTTTGGCGTACATAACTATAAATTAATTATATTATTTTTTGATATTTTACAGAATTGAAATGGATTTAACGATTAATATAAAATAAAAATTTAAATGATAAAAATAAAAACATAATTTTTACTTTTATATTATCATAATTATATAAATGTATGTATCATATATTTTTATAATTAATTTCATATTTTTTTTTTATAATTTACATTGACTTAATAATTATCAATAAAAATAAAAATTATTATCTTATACAATATTTAAATTATTTATTAATAATATTTTTATTTACAATATGTGCGAAAATTTTAAAAGTTTTTCTTTATGTATCTCCAATTTATATAATATTTATTATATAATTTGTTCTTTTTTTGTATTTTTATGTTTTGGCTATATAATAAACATAATTTGAATTACATACATATAATGTCAAAATTGAGTTTTCATATACAAGAGTTGCCGTTTTAACAAAAAATTTTGTCTTGATTTTTTCTATAGTTACAATAGAATTTTAGCTTTTTTTATTTATGTTTAATTTTTATGATGATAATGAAAGTTAAAAAATTTTTTTTTTGTCTTCTCTTATTTAATATTTATAAATTTTTAATTCATTTATTTATTTTTTTTTATTATTATAAAGATTTATCATTTTTGATGGCAGTGAATAACCTGCTATAACATGATTTCTTTGTTTTATTTTATTTAATAATTTATAAATGATCTTATATTTAATAATTCGATGACGTTTATGTGTATGTGTGTGTGTGTATTTATCGTAAAAATGTGTGTAAATGTTTAATATATGGCAAATTATATAATGTATTATAATCTTTTTAAATTTCTTCAGTCAAGAAAAACTTTAGTATTTTTGTTTTCAATTTGTTTTTGTTTCTCTCATATGCTTTAATTTACAATTCGAATATTATGTAATATAATTTCTCTTTAATAATTAATAAATTATTTTAAAGTTTATCTTTGTAATTTTTTTTGTTTTTTTTTTTTTATATAATTATTATATATAATTAAAAAATAAAAAGTTGCTCATTTATGTTTATGGTGCTACCGTTGGTGTGTTTCTTTCCACTTTATTTAAATTTAAAACCTTTAAAATTTTTAACAAAAAAAAAGTTTTTTTTTTTTTATAATTTTCTTTCAGTCAATTTTTATATAATTTTTAATAAGTATTTATGTGTACATTTATAAATATATTGTATTAAAATAATTAATTTACAGATTATTATGAAACAAATTTTTTATTATGTTTTAAAAAGCTTTAAATAATTAAAAAATATTTTATTCTACTAAATTTTAATATTCTTAATTATTCTTTTTTTTGCTTTCTTTAATATAATAAATATACATGTAAGGTTTTATTTTGTGTTATGGCTGGTTTTTGTATTTTGAATAGTAGGAAAATACAAAAAGTTACACGTCTGTTTAAAGCTTAGTGCTCCTGCCTGCCTGCGTAAGTAAGTTTATTTTGGAATGAAATTATATCCAAATAGAGTATTTATAAAATTATTATTGTTTCCTTGATTTAAAAAATTAGCATTTTAGTGTATGTTGTGAATTAAAATAAATACAATAATTGTTATTATTATAATTTTGTATATTAATAATGTTTGTTTAATAAATATTCAGGAAAATAAGAACAGTGTCCAGATAGTGCAATACTTTCTACAATTATTTATATCACATATTATTAGAAAGTTCATCAATACATTGATAAACTTGCGATTGATAGCCTTTATGTCATGTTATCCTGATGGTAAAATAAACTTATGAAGAAAAAAATAGAAGCTCAAATAACCTGTAAACATTTCGGCACTATGTAATAAAATGTTTCTGTAATTAATATTTTAAAATTTAAAAATTTTAAAAATACTATTTTTAACAATTACTTTGAACAGGCATGAACAGCTTTCTTGGATATTAAAACTTTTAGGTTTTAGTTTGCGTGCGTGATAGACTTTAAGTTTCCATGTTTCTTATTTAACCAATAATAATTATAAGTATAAATGCATAACTTTTGATATTAATTTGATGTAATATTAATAATTAGGAATATATTGTGAAGGAGCTTATTCAAATTAAAAAAATTAACTATTAATGCATATTCAAGTTTACCATTTTTTTAAAACATTTTTAGTTTTTTTTTTTATTTAATGGACTAGAAGAGAGCTTGGCGATTAAAAAAAATTTACCTTATATTGCTTGTTTTTTTTTAATAAAAAATTATTTTGTATTATTAAATTTACATGTTGTTATTATTGTAGGTAATAATTTATTTCTTATTTTTTTAATTTATCGGAATTAGGTAAATTCATACGCTTCGACTACAAGAATTTGCGTAAAAAGGAAAAAAATATTTTTTTCTCATTCTTAAAAATTAAATTAACTCTTAATATAGACTGAAATTTTTTGTAATAAAAGAAAAATTGAATATTTATTTTTATTTAGAGTTGACTGAAATTACTTGTTGATACCCAGTGGGCCGTATCTGGCCGAACTGTTAACTATATAGGACCATAATCACTTAAAGCTTGCCCGTGTTGCGGTCCTGGTAGTGTTACTACAACAGAAACGGCACGTGGATCAACAACAGAACCTGGTGTACCATGTGGTCCATTTCCTGGTGTACCAGTTACACTACCAACACTTGCTGATCCGCCAAGAGCACCGCTACTAGTTAAATGACTCCCATGAAGAACACCACCAGGATGACCAACTGTACTACTACTTATGCCAGTACCCATGATACTACCACCACCACCAACTGGAACGCCGCTACCGCCTAATGTACTACCACCTCCTAATGTACTTGAATTACCCCCACCCATTGGTAGACCTGTTGTTGATGCGGCGCCAGACTCTCCAGGTCATACATGACTAGCTGGCGGTTGTTTCAACACATGGTGATGTAAATGATGATGTGATGTTGAGGCAACACTGCCCCCAGCTTGTGTGTATGGTGTTGCTAACAACGATGCAGCTGCCGAACCAGGTACTCCCATTCCTGATCCAGCATATGGGTGTGGTATTGGAGGTCTTTGTTTGATTAACGCTTGATTGGCACCTGTACGGTCAGGTACCCCACACAATCTCCTCCAGAATCTTCTCCAAGATTCCAATGTTTTACCAGACCAAATCCATACACCTGAAGTGATGCCAACAGCAAGCGCCATAAAATATTTAAGCATTAATACTGAGTATAAAGGTTTTTGTCTATGTCCAGTTGCGGTGGAACATGGACAAGCCAAGGATTGTATCCAATCTTCAAAATATGCTGCCTCATACAAATAGCAGGCGATTACAATTGTTGCTGGGACAGTATATAGGACGGAGAAAATACCAATTCGAATCATTAATTTTTCTAATTTATCAGCTTTTGCACCAGCTCCAATACCACCTTGTTGTTTAATTACAGACCGTATTCGAAATAGAGACACAAATCCTGCCATTAAGAATGTTGTGCCGATAACAAGATACACGAAAAGTGGCGCCAAAACAAATGTTTTTAAATTATCAACGTTCATATTCCCAACGTAGCAAATGCCAAGAATGGGATCACCATCCACAGCCGATAACAGTAAAACTGCTACGCTTTGTATAGTTGGAATTAACCACGCAGCTAAATGGAAATATTGTGAATGTTTAGTTATCGCTTCATTACCCCACTTTAAACCAGCTGCTAAGAACCATGTGAAAGACAGGACAACCCACCAAATAGATGAAGCCATTCCAAAGAAATATACTAATAAGAACACCAACGTACAGGAACTTGGCCCTGTAGATGATTGTTTTATAACTCTACCATCACAAGCAATTTCATCATTTCCCATAAATGTTTTCGATAAATAACCAATTGCTACCATAAAATAACATGCTGACAAGAAAACTATTGGCCGCTCAGGGTATTTGAACCTTTCCGTGTCTATGATGAATGTGGTCAGTGTCATTAGGGTGCTGATGAAGCACAGGCCCGACCACAGTGCTATCCATATGTTTGCGAACTCCTTTTCTTCGCTTGTGAAGAACGGGCCCTTGCATGGGATCCCGCAATTTGGTACGCCGGCGACCTTTCCTACTGTTGTGTTGTACCAAAGGTTTTCCTTCCCCAGGAGCACTAGTGGTGCTCGACAGGTACACGCGCATTCCTTTGTTGTTTTTTCGCTTCCTGGGGTGTTTTGACAGTTTTTTGAATTTTTACCTTTACATTTTTGTGATGAGGGTTTCTTTGTCGCCTTGGATGAACTACCACCACTGCCGCCCATACTACCTCGGCCACTTTCAGAATGACTTCCACCGCCACCTTCATCAGTATAACTAGGTTGTTCCATACATAAATTTTCTGGATCACCATGTAATGGTAAATTTTCGCAAGCCATTCTTTCCGGCCATTGAAAGCTATATTGTTGCATAATCGGTGCGCATCCAGCTCGTGCACGTTCACAAACTGATCTGCATACTGGTAACGGTTTATGGTAATCTTCTAAACAAATTGGTGTATACATTGAGCATAAGAAGAATTTTAAATCTGGTGAACATTTTATTTCAACTAATGGCCAAAATTGATGAACCTCCAGGCCTGCTTCTTCTTGTGTTTCATGATTCATTTCATTTGGAAATGATGTTAAATTATAACCAATGCCCCGGCACATTGGTGTTGTTATTACTTCACACTTTGAATTTTCGCTTGGCATTATTGGTACGCCAAGTGCTGGTGATGGTGTTCCACCGGAGTGCATTATATCTGAATGCATACCACCTGAACTTGAATGCATTATACCACTCCCAATGCTTCCTCCATTTGTACCACCTAGATGAACATCGTCATCGCTAACATGTTGTACACTATCAGCAGATATATTTGATATTAATAATGTTAGAATCAATAAAAACTGGTTTCGTAGCTTTCTTAGATCCGCCATCTTTTTTGTATGTAAACCAAAAGAAGATGGCAGTTCAAATGAATTGTGCTAAATTAATTTCGGAGTATTTATTCCAAAAACACGAAATAAAATTAGTGTTCTTCTTTTTTGTTATTTGTTGAAGTTTTTCTCCCTAAATTTTAACAGTATCTTAATACTACAGTTGAAAGTTGATTTAATAATTTCATTTAAGACTTTTTCATTTTATATTTTGCCATTAATTACAAAAATACTAGTCAAATCTTTTCATGTGTTAAAGAATCCATCTGAAACGAAAAGTAAATAAAAAAATAAAAATAATATTGTGAAAATTATAATAAAATTAAATTTATTTAGTTTATAATATTAGGTGTTAGTAAATGGTTTACAAGTACATCGAAGCAGGATAGAAACTATTATAAGTAATAAAAAAATGCGAACTTTAATAGTTTCAAATCGTAACGGAATTGATTATAAGAATTGCTGAAAATCTTTAATCATTAAAAAACGGTGTAGTATGAGAATCAAAAACCGAAAGAGAAATTAAAAGAAAGAAAAACTACTTCCTGCTTTATTACATTCAGTCATAATTTAATATGGTGATGGGTTCAAGTAGTATGATGGCAGGCGTCAGTGTTGCCCTTTTTCATACTGTTTTAACTCTTAATTTAATTTAAAATTTCTAACTGAACACTTATCGTTACGTGAAAAGTGACTAAAATAATTTATGCATCTCTCAATCATCATTTAACAAATAAATCTCAATAGCAATAAAAAAAATCTTCAATTCTGCATTTTTTCGTTTTTCATAATCAAAATTGTATTGTTTTATTTTGTTTATTTTTTTACATTTTTGACACTTAAATTAAATTCGATTTAAAAATAAATTTTGCTCACCCCTTTTTCATTTAAATTTTCAACCCGATCACATAAACCTAAAAGTTATTCTATTATTCTTATTTTGTTTTTGCTTTTTAGCATATCTTGTTACGCATACTATTTGTACATTTTTTAAAACAATTTTTTAAATCTTTTGAAATAAGATTTTTTTTTTAATTTTTTGTTATAAGTGGAAGACACTTGAAACAATTCATATCGTCACCATTTAGTTCTGATGATTTTAACAATAATGACTTAAAATAAATGCAAAATAAACATAGAAATACCAACTTAACAAAAATTTAAGATGTCCATCTTCATCAACGCATCAATTGACGTTAATGCCTTCATATTTTGTTACTTTATAGGTTTTTTGTTTTTTTTTTTTTGTATTTTTATTGTTGCTTGTTGATTACAAGTCGTGCATTACTCAATATAACAATTTCATAAATTAAGAACAAATCAGGAAAAAAACAAAATATGAATAATTTCTCAAATTAAAAGTAAAAGAAAAAACAAAATGTCAAAATGAATTATATGCGTTACGATACTTAAAAATATGCAAGCTATAAGAATGTAAATAAGTCAATATAACTGTACTATTCATATTATGATAATACTGTAATTTAAATTTTAAATGACACGATCTTTTTCACCATTTAATTATTTTTAATTTACCGATTGAAATGAATAACGTTAAACGTAAAATAAAAGTTGAAATGTCAAATTGAATTAAATCAAAGTCGTAATAGTTTTTCTCTTTTACTCTCTCCATGCTTTTCTTTTCTTCATTATTTAAAATATATGTGCATCGTCGAATATTTCTAATATACATATGTACGTCGAAGTATTAAAATATGTACATTCATATGTCAATTCAATCAAAGTATTAAATAACGAGTGTTTTATGAATCAAAACAAAACAAATAATTTTGTTCTCAGATTTTTTCTTTCTGTTTTAGTTAAGAAACAATGATAAAATATTCAAAAATTCTCATCATATTGAAAAATAAAAATAAATCAAAATTGATGAGACAATTTTATGAAGTTTTTTAATTTAATTGTTTTTTTTATTTTTCGGGAGCTCATAGGTTCACTCCATTTTCAGTTCAAATTAATAATAAATATTAAGATAAGAAGTGTTATATAAAAGACAACAACAGAAATAATGTAGAAATGAGGCCAAAAGGTATTTGTATCGTGAGTATTACGAAATTTCTGACATTTTAAAATTTATAAATTTTAAATTAAACCCATTTGTACATTTAAAGTTATTTAAGAATTTTTTAAGTTTAATTAAATTTAATATTTGGATGATATTTTTTTTTAAATGAATAACGAGAATGAGAAATTAATCGATAAACTGCAACAGGATTTTAATTGAAGGTTTCTTCAGAAATCAGATGCGTCTTATTTTGTATAATGTACGAATGCAATTAGTATTTTTGCATCTGTATATTTGGTACTTGAAATTAATATAAAGTACGCGGTGCGTTATATTTAAATCAATTTAAAGGTGTATGTACATGCATCAATTGTCTTTCAATAAAAATTATTCGCTGCAAATTTTATGAAATCTTAATACATATAAATATAAACAAGAAATTGACGTTATGTTTAACAGCTACGAAAGTTTTTAAAAATTGCATTCATTACAAATAGACAATATGTTTTAACATTTAACATAGTTTCTTTTTTGTAGTCTCCCTTGAACAAGCTAATAGAAATTTTTTTAAAATGTTTTAAAAAATTATAAACGATTTGAAAAAATATACGGACCTCTTTTATTGATTCAGTTAAGTAATTTGCAACAAAAATGCTTGATCAGAAAACGAAAGAACAATTGATTTCTGAATATTTTTATATTTTTTTATGTTACTTTAAAAAACGAGTATCAATTATTATGAATGTCAATCACAGAGTAATCGATTCATAACGACGAATAAAGTCAATTCATTATTTTATATTTAATGACTTCAGATAATCAAAAAATAAAATAAGGAATGAAAAAAAAAACATTAAAAATTTATATGTCTGTATGTTCAACTCACTTCAATCCTTTGATTGTTTCTTTTACTCTTATTAAAAGTAGAGAAAAAAATTCCTTTTATTTTTTTAATATTTAGCTTTTTTTTTTGTTTTTATATATTTTCATACCCATGTCGGATTTAAGTGCTTAGTACTTGACAAATTTCACTGCATCACACACTTATGCAGCAAAATATTATGAAGTAGTGTTATGAAAAATAAATTAAGTTTGTTATTACCAAATAAAAAATAAAATATGCGAAGTACAAAATTTACTAAAAAAATCCTCATATTTTTTTCCCTTTGAATAAGAATTTAAGTTCCACCAAAACCGAAATAGCCTGAGCTTTTGTTATTAGTGATCACTGATAAGTTTGCAGAAATAAAAATATCATAGGTAGTCAAATTGGTATTAACTGAATCGGGCTTGTCTATAATATTGAAAAAATATAAATTCTATTTCATAAAATAAATTAATAAAATTCGGAAACATTTAGTAAATCTCTTTTAAGACTAGAAGAATTTAATTGTTACTGAATTGATTTTTATGATATTTGCCCAACATGAGCCTCGAGATCTTATAACCTTGTAATCTTTTAAAGCTTTGGTTATCTTATAATCTGTTAAAGCTGTGCTTAGGATTATTTTCACTTGACAGCATTAAAATTTAAATATCTTGTTTTAAAGGCCTAACGTCGATTCATTCAAATGTTTACGAAAATTTTGTTTTGTTTATTGGAAGTAATACCTATGATTGGATGGACTTATTTTGTGTCATGATATTTCATTTTCTTCTTTAATAGTTTTAATACTTAATCACTGTCAGAATTTTTAAAAGTGTTTATTTCAACTTAATGAAAATGTTATTTAAAATAAATGTGAATGAGACTTAAAGTACACATTAAGGAGAATGAAAAAAAAAACGACGATCAAAACGCAAATTCATATCAAAACCTTGAAGCAAGATTGAAACTTGGATTGTAAAATGAAGAAGGATATTTTAATGAACTGCCTTTTTGACAAGATTTGTTTTTCTTTTCTAAACTCTTAATTAAAATTCAAAATGGAAATCGAATTTTACAGAGATTTTAAAATAGGATTGTAAATTTAAAAGTAATAAATTCGTTTTAAATTTTAGATTTATTGATTTTATTGAAGGAAACAGCTTTCTCATTCTCATTCGCAGTTTCTTTAATTTATTTAAATTTTAAAATAAATTATGATATGGAACTATGTTAATTTGTATGTACATTTGTAAGTAATAAATGTGATGACGATAGTGGAACGTATTGAAATTAATAATGATTCGCATCATTTGAGTTTTTGTTCGTTCCTTTAAAATAAATTTGAATAATAATTTTAGGATCATAATTAATAACCAAACACTTCAGCATCGAAATTTCATTAACACGTTTGAAAACGTTTCGCTATATTTTGATAATTTATCAAATTTTAAGCAGTTGTAAGTCGAACTAGTGAAATTATTAACAAAATAATAATGAAAATTGAATTTAAATTTGTTTTGGTTTTAGATAAGTACATCATTTGCATATAGAAAAGAAAATAAAAGCTGGAGTCTATAAATAGGATTTTTATTAAATTACTATCAATAATTCAAATATTACGAAGAATATTAGAATTATTTATTTTAATGTGTTGGTATATGATTCAGTTCGGGAGTAGAACTCCCTGTTAATTAGTCGAGTATATTGAATACATAAATATGTGTATATGTTAATAGATATCCCAAAGAATCTTATGTTATTTTCTAAAACTTTTTATAGCAATTTAAAATTTATCGTGAATGGCCTCAAAATGAATTATTTATAATCCGAATTTTTAACAAAATCTACTCATTATATTTATTATAAGACAAGGAGTAAATCGGTTTTAAAATAAATAATTTTTAATTTCGTAAACGATTTGGGGTTTATATTAAAAGAGGGGCAAGTGTAAGTTTAAACAAGTAATTTATAAATGCATTGCAATATTTTAATCTTTAAATGTTCAACTTGAATTTAAAAGAGCAACATTTTTTGTAGTTTAACCAACAAAACTTCAAAGCAAACGATTTTTTTTATCATTTCTACGTACCATTTTTCAGAATTTTTAAATTTTATTTATTTATTTTTTTTTCGTCTTTGAAGAATACTTTGAGAAACTTTTGAAGTATTGTAATATTACCTTAAGATTTCAATCTGCATTTATAACTATTATTGTGACTATGATTTCTCTCTTAAAACTGTATTATAAAAAAAAATCACTTAAATATATTAAAAAAGAGTTAAAGTAAAGGGAATAATAAAGCAACAATAAACCAAACTTTGAAAACTTTCTTTACTATGAGTGCACTTTAAAAAGCCAAAAAAGGAAAGATATT